AGGGCTTATTATATCGTTGTCGTTTTGCTGTTTATATTAAAGGTATGTCTGCGTGCCATTTTCGATTAGCTCTAATTGCCTCTTCGGTTGCGCCACTGTTATTCAATTATAATACATGTACAAACACAAGATAGCGCTATCCGCGATTCTACGCGCAACAAATAGAAGCGTCGATGTTCAGTTAAAAGAAACATAAGGTAAAATTTGACTATGTGGAGAAACTACAAGAAACAAACGAACCAGAGCGGCGCCTTGCCGCGCGGACGTGGCAAAATTGCTCTCCGTGTACCCACAATGCATTTGGGCCGAATGTTCCACTATATTGGGAAGCTGCTCTATCTTCTGCTATTTATTATCTGTCTCCTACCTTCTCTATCTCCTACTAAAAATAGATAGGAGACGATTCATTAAATCAGTGCGTCAGGTGCCCCCCCCCCCCAAAAAACCGTAGTTAATAAATTATCCTGTGAAGAACGCTAATTATATAAGAGGGCCTCATGGGCTTTTGATCATTGTATCGTTTACCGTATGGTCGTTTCCTATGTTTTCGTCCCAAGTAAGTCAATCTTCGAATTTGTACTTTTGATATGAGTTTTACAATAAAGAAATAATGACAAGGAGACAATTGGATGGCTTGAAAGCACGTTAGTATACTAGCTCATGTAAATTTAAAAAACGAGCAAATAGGAAGAATACGGTACCGTTGTAATTGATTATATAGAATGATCCCACTATGAGGGAGATTATTATTATTATTATTATTATTATTATTATTATTATTATTATTATTATTATTATTATTATTATTATTATTATTATTATTATTATAACAATATAATTACCAATAGAAATTAAAATAATAACAACAATAGCAACAACAATAATATTAATAATAATAATAATAATGATTTTCTTTATATTTATAAAATAATAATAATGTACCGTAACGAATGTTTAAACACGAACACTTTTTTCCTACTCCAACACAGGTGAGCTATTTTTCGAATAATAATAATAATAATAATAATAATAATAATAATAATAATAATAATAATAGTGAAGATAATATAGAAATAATAGTGTAAAATATTTTAATAATAAATATAATAATAATAATAATAATGACAATATAAATAACAATAGAAATTTCAATAATAATATTAATAATAATAATAGGAATAGCAATAATAATATTAATAATAATAATAATAATTTTCTTTATATTTACAATAATAAAATAATAATAATAATAATAATAATAATAATAATAATAATAATAATAATAATAATAATAATAATGTAACGAATGTTTAAATCTTTAACAACACAAACACTTTTTTCCTACTGAGAAATTTCCTTACATTCAATAATAATAATAATAATAATAATAATAATCATAATAATAATAGTAAAGATAATATAGTAATAATAGTGTAATATAGTAATTTTGTTACACCATGTGGCATATGTTAAGCTGGGTACTCAATGCGTGAGACGGCAACGCGACGACGAATGCACGCGACAGTGCACACCCAACGTAGAACGGATTTTTTTTTATGAGGATCCGTTCAGACTGCCTGCTTTGTACACTACTCAGTTGAGTTGTTATGTGTAAACTAGATCTAAAGTACTAGATAGAAATCTTTATAGATAGAAATGATTATTTAATTATTATTAAATTATATTTTAATGATTATTATTATCATTATCATCATGTTATGTAAAATCTAACAAAAAGGAAAATAAATATTTGAATTTGAAATTTGAATTTCATTATTAATGTTATTATTGTTTACTCATTATTATTATTATTATTATTATTATTATTATTATTATTATATTATTATTATTATTAGTATTATATTATTATTTATTATTATTATTATTATTATTGATCATCATCATCAATCTTTATGAAATATATTATTATTATATTATAACAGTTTGTAATTTTTTTTATATAGAATTCTTAATTTAAACCAAGTAATTATTATTATTATTATTATTATTATTATTATTATTATTATTATTATTATTATTATTATTATTATTATTATTTTCATTATTATTATTATTATTATTGTTATTGTTATTAATAATAATAGCCATTAACATTTTTTCCAACCTGGTTAGGATCAATTTAAGTATTTATGATCATATACTACGCTATATACGACGTATCCATTTTACACTAAAAAAATAAATGGCTAACGCTGCTGGGGCGGATGCAGGATTTGGTAGTAGGGGTGCGTGAGAGTCGACACCAAACCTCAGCCCCACCATAGTTGGAGCTCAGGTGCAAAAATTGTGATATATAGACCTCTAGTTGCCCGGAAATTTCACTCTCGTACCTAAAAAATCTTACTGGTAATTCATAAACAATAAAATCAAACAATTATTTTTTCTTAATATATTTTAGAGGGTGTGATCGCAGCATCTGCACCCCCACCCCACCTGCATCCACCCCAGTGTAATACTGTACTGTATTAGTTTTCTCCCTGCATGAATGTATTTCAATATACAGTATCATGTATGAAACTGTAGCACTAGGATAAAATATATCTAGTTATAAATACAAGTGAAAATTTGTTATTGATAAATATAGGCCTACATTATATAAACAAGCCATTATAAAATATATTTCAATCAACAGCAGATCATGTAATGTTATATTATTAGATAATAGGACATAAAAGGCAACTGATACAAACATAGGCTTATATAGACCTACATAAGAATATATTTTACATAAATATATGTAATCGTCTTCATATAACAATACAAAATGAAGTGTGCAAAAAAATAAATATAAAAAAATTAAATAATAGTATGTACTCTATATAATTGTATAAAAATTACGTATTAGATAAATAAATATAATGTTTAGAAAATGCCGTCCTCTGCAAGTCGAAAATGTCATCACAAGCAGCCCACACTTACCTTATTACCTGTACAGTAATTATTATCAACATAGGCAGTCCATACACTGCCGCGAGAGGGCCTGACTCGCATGATATGAAAAAGCTTTACAATTCTGTAATGAAAAATATGTTAGCTCCTCGTTCTTCGTCTATATCCTTTGATTATGGCTACCCCGGGAAGCTACTGTATTGTTTAGTTTTCCACCAATCAGCAGCAAGTCTCACTACCCAAAACAGTATTTCACTGTTTTGGAATTTATGCAGATATTATTCTCCTGCAGACGATTGAAGCAACTCAATAGAAACGTGGTGTACTGCAAGTATTAATATAGGCTATATTCAATGCATTTGATCAGGGCTTTTTTTGTTATAATAATTCAGTATCTGTTAATCGATGATAGTTTAGACCAGTGGCAAGATGCAATACGGTTTCCTTATAATTTTAGCGGCTTTCATCCACCACGTGATATATAGTGGTATCGTGTTTAGTTTCAATATTCTGCACGTCTATATTGTTGAAGAATATAAAACTACTGCAACGATGTCAGGTAAGAATATTAAATAAGTTAAGCAGTTATATACCTAGACTGTGGGTGATGACATACCATCTAATTTCCTAATAAGTACGCCTAAAAGCCTGTTTATACTTGCAACGTTAACGATAAAATGCTAAAAAGCAATTGTTCATATAGAAAATACAAGAAAATAAGAGAAGTTTTCACACTAGCACGATTCGATAACGATTTATCGTGTACATAGGCCTACAATAAAAAAATATTTTCACAAATCAATCAAATGACGTCATAACCATGGGAAAATTATAAAAATTTTTACTAATACGATTTTATCACTTTCCCATGATTATTACACCATTTGATTTGATTTGTGAAAATATTTTTTATCGTATAGGGCCTACACGATAAATCGTTATCGAATCGTGCTAGTGTGAAAATTTCTTTTATTTCTTATATTTTCTATATGAAAAATTGTTTTTTATCGTTATCGTTGCTAGTATAAACAGGCTTTAAGACGAGATTTTTTATATACATTGTTTTGCTAACTAGTGAGAGGAGGGCGGAAAACAAATAAAAATAAAATTTTGTTCTCATTTAGCAAAATGATTTTGCCAAAACCATCTAGGCGGAGGAGAAAATAAAAGAAGAATATTAATGAATTAAACAGTGTAGTAATGAGATTGATAAATGTTTGAAATTTATATAATTAAGGAAATAGGCCTATATATATCATTTTTGGAAATTTCAGGGAAGCAGATGGTGTACTAAATATAAATATAAGGCTTAATATTAATGAATTAAATAGTGTAGTAATGAGATTGATAAATGTTTATTTATATAATTAAGGAAATAGGCTTATATATATCTTATTTTTGGAAATTTCAGAGAAGCAGAGGGCGTACTAAATATAAATATAAGGCTTAATATTAATGAATTAAATAGTGTAGTAATGAGATTGATAAATGTTTGAAATTTATATAGTTAAGGAAATATATATATCTTATTTTTTGGAAATTTCAGGGAATCAAAGGGCGTACTAAAGATAAATATAAAACTTAAATTTTTTTAAAAGAAATTCACACTTTTTTTGTGGCAGAGTTTACTCTAACGGGCCAAAAACAGAATTTTAGTTTTATTCAAAATCAATATTTCAGTGGCTGTTGGATAATTCGCTAAACAGGGAATAAAAAGGTCTCGCTTAAGCTATAAGGCCTACTGTACTACAATACCAACTGTGTCATACACAATGTAAATGCTTTCAAGCTTTACCATGACACGGAGCCTGGTTTCATCATAAAAAAAGAAAAAAAAAAACCTTTGTTTTTTTTATTTTCAGCACAACTGTTTATTTAGGAAACGATTATTTCATTTTGACCTCAAGATTTCACCAGCGTAACTAACAAAATTAAAATAGAGACAATTAGGCACTGATGCAAGGTGTGTGGGCATTGAACAATTTATTATTATAATAGAGGAAACAGGGTTTTCTGCTACATTTTCCTGTTTTCTTATTAGCGTATTTTAATTTCTAAAAACCCAAACAAATCAAACTCCACTGGAACTCATATAATCATATTTGTGTGCATTCATTAACAGCACCATTGGTATTGATCTTAATGAAGACAATATTTCTAAGAAATAATATATACACTGTATCTGTAAAAAAAAATAATAATAATAATATGAAAGTCGTGGTGTCGTCATAAAAGAATAACAGATTAACGTTTGGATGCTCTAAACTGAGCTGCAAGGTCACGAGTTGAATTATTATTATTTATGGAAAACAGTGAATGCGTTATGACACGGACTGTGGTTGTAAAATACACTATTCAAATATCAACAACAAAACACGTACATTGTAATTTGGAAAGCCAATTGTAAATTTATAATCGTCTCCGCCGTCATCGTTATCGATGTAGTTATTTCAGTTTAGCTTTCGAACCGGAAAATCCACCATTGATTCTCTTCTTTACGTTTACAGTTTTCTCGCCTTTTTTCTCTTGACATTTGCAAATCGAGTTCCGTTTCTCATATTATTCTTGTATTACATAAACGTTCTCGCATCTTCCGTATTGACCCAAACACTATTTCTTGGATTAAAATATTGGCTCAGCGCTCCCAACAGACTTCATTTAATCAAGGAGGTACCTCCTTGATTTAATGGTGAATACCAATCGCCAGCGGGGTTATCGAGGATAGCACACTTGGTCTAACGCCGTTATTATGTTTTATTAATGCCATTATTGTGTCCCTTAATTGTACCGTTTCCGGATCCATGTTAACTGACGACCTTATTATTTTTTTTCTTTCAAAAACCCTTTTGGTCTCAGAATAACAGTTTAATTTTGCCCCCTTCCAAGGCTTCCTTGTTGAATCCGTTTCTGAAATTAAATACTTGGGCATTAAAATCACTTATCATTTAAAATGGAATAAACATGTTCAACTTGTTCGGCTCATAGAAAACTTTCAATATTTAAATTTCTCAAACACTCCCTAAGTCTAGAATGTCTTTCTCTGCCCCCTATTTATCACATATCCAACCTAAACTCTCGAATATGCTTGTCCTGTCTTCGACTTTTTACCAATGTGATCTTATGTTAAACGTATTGAAATCCTATTTGCAAAAAAATCGAGTTTCATCTGCTTCTTCCAATGCCTACATTACCATCCTCTTTAGATACAATATACTGTAATTCCCTTTGGATCTTGGCTGAAACTCTTCAACATTCGTTTTCTTTCAAAAATTGTCCAGAACTCAGATCACCAATTACACGCTTACGGTATCTTAAATACATCGTCCATGCTCTACTTTATTATGTCATTCTCACCACAATCTTCATCCCCTTCTTCCGTTCTTTTCCCTGCTTGTACCTCCCGTCTTATCTATCGTTCTTTCCTTGCTCTTTCTTACTCGCAACAACCTGACCCTAGATTCCGCTGATATCACCCCTTCAGACATTAAGACAGCTTTTAATTTTTAAATGTACTTAATCCAACTAACTTGAGAAGTTTTTTTTAAATTTTAAATGTTATTGTTATTGTTTTTATTATGCGATTTTGAAAATGATCACGTGGTAGATCTTTCAGAAGTCTTGAACATTTTACAATTTAGCTTTCGGTGCCATCAAGACACTTTCACCTTGTACAAAAAGGATGACCTACTCATTTATAATCATAAAATAATATCATAATTCCAGGTCTTACTGGTACCATTGGATTGTCAGTGTATCACCTAGCGTCGCTCTTATCATCCACCGTATTTACAAGAATTGGTCACAGGCGGGCCGTAATCGTAGGCGTCCTACTTAGCTGCACCGGTCTGTTCATGTCAGCATTTGTTACGACAATCCAGCTACTATGGGTGTCCTTTGGTGTGTTTACAGCTGGCGGCGGTTCGTTAGTAACGCTAACCTGCATGAATATGGCTGTAGTCTATTACCCTGGAAGTTTTTGTAAACGCGTGATTTGTTTAGTTT